TTGTAGAGCCCTGCCTTCTATAGGATTCAACAGCTTCTTTCAATGCATAGATACATAGATCAGTACTGTGTTTAGACTTAAAGCCAAATTGATTTTCCGTGGTGAAAATGAGCCCACTTAGTCTATATAGTAGCATCTTTTCTAACACCTTTGAAAGAATGCTAGCTAGAGCGATGGGTCTATAGTTATCCATACTCCCTATTTTCCCCGTCTTATCCTTAATGACGGGCACTAATGTGACAGTCATCATGGTCTCTGGCAGGACACCATGAGTCATCAGCCCTGTCAGGCAAATAGATAGAAGGGCTGCCACTCTGGGGCTGGCTAACTTGAGATGCTCCGCAGTGATGTTATCCTTGCCACTAGCTTTGTTATCAGCTAATTGCTCTATAGCATTATAAACCTCATTGGGAGTAAAGTGGATTACATCCTCCTTTAACTCCCCCACACAATAGGGCTTACTTTAAATGCAATTAAACAGAGTTGCATAGTGCTGCATCCACAGCTCTGCTATATTTTCTGCACCAGATACCCTTCAATATGGCAAGGCAATATTGCCTTGGCCCTATTTGTAACTTTCACCTCCTTCCAGAACTCAGTGACATTGTTGCCAATCAAGTTTCCAGCCATAGAGTTAGCTCTTAAGATATTTATATCTAGCCCTGGTTAGTTTTTTATGTTCTAACTCTGCCCCCTGTCTGGGTTTACCAGCTATAACCCAAGACCTATGAGCCATCTTAGCAGGTTCATGGTGGTCAACCACATACTTATTCCAGCCAGGTTTGATATTCTTAACCTTTCTGGGGTGTGTGCGTAGAAGACGACTAGCATCATCTATAGCCCTCATGCTAGTCGTCTACTACGCACACACCCCAGAAAGGTTAAGAATATCAAACCTGGCTGGAATAAGTATGTAGTTGACCACCATGAAGCTGCTAAGATGGCTCATAGGTCTTGGGTTATTGCTGGTAAACCCAGACAGGGGCCAGAGTTAAAACATAAAAGACTAACCAGGGCTAGATATAAATATGCAGTGCGCTTTTTCTCCAGCTGTTATATTAACCTGTTTGCGCGGTTGAAAAACACTGATTGGTCGATATTATGTATGAGGAATATACATTTCGGTAAGTTGCGTGAGAAAATGGATGTGTGGCGTGAGAGCATGTAAAAAGTGCGTGAGTCTCACGGTCAATGCGTGAGAGTGGGCAGCCCTCTTTTACTTCAGGCAGTGACTGGCAATGAGTCTGATCTTCAAAAGAGACAAGTTTACTAATATTAGTCTCGAATTTTCCCGGCTGAAGATAAATGCTCTGCTATAATTTTGTAGATGGACCGTTTTGAGAATACACGAAGCAGAGTTGAAGGGCAAGCAGGGTTGGCAGCAGAAATGTAAACGTTGGATAAAGCATATAATTTAGGGCATCATTAAGATCTCCTACTTTTGACGACACAACGTCCACTCGCTATAACCTCCTCACCCACAAGAAATCGATACAACCCCTACACCTTTTGCTGTATATCTGGCAGTGCAACCCCAAACACAAGACGTTTTCATCATCGTTTCAACCCTGATCAACAACGTGTTTAACTATGTAACCGTTACAGTTGCCAGCTGGATCTTTTCAGTTAGTCAGTAGAAGCCGCTCGCGTTCTGCCACCGGAAGTATCTTGGTGCCTATTGTTTACAAACATTCTGAAATGCCGTATAGATTTTTAAATCTTGCTGATAACTTACAAAGGTTTTATTCCGAGGTTTACTATAGTCAGCCAGATCCAGGCCGTATTCAGATCAGAGGTTGGGCTTGACCCTAACCCTGACCTGTAATGTTGCTGTTCGTTGGCCAGAGGAGAACTGCCCCACCCCCACTTAATATTCACCAATATTATTGATCTGCCTGCATTGACACCAGGGACGTGCACAGGGGGGTTGCTCAGGTTGCCCGGGCAACTGCCCATATGCCCTTCTCACTCAAGTTGCCCTTCCGAGAAAAAAATTAAATCGTACAATGGATGCAGAATTTCACATAGGCCTAGATTAAAAAAAAAATCGCAAAGCCTCATTCACTTCCATTCGGGCACCGAAAGTGAAAGTCAGTATGAAGGGCAAACGCTGCACGCGACCATAGACTGCACGCGACCGGCGTAGGGCCACGCAAATTACTTAAGGCCACGCCTCCATCTCGTGTCATAGTCATAGCGCGCCGTCAAATGTGTAGCTACAACATCCACGACAAAATGAAGCGAAACTTCACGAAAAGAGGAAGAAGAAAAAAACCATGAGAGTGAATTGCGGGAACAACAATCAGGTAAACGTGTGTTCTCTCCTCTCTAAGTTTGATGTCAGCAAAGTTTGATGTTTTTCGGTCTTGCTAACCTAGCTGGGCAGGCAGTGCATCTCTTGAATCACTTTGTGGCTGACAAAAGTGAGAGTAAAATACAATTATTTATTACGTTTGATTTTGATAAACGACAAAGTGCAACGGTGTTTGTTTACTGCAGCTCGGAAAACATAACCGCGTCGCGTGTGTTATCGTGCGTTCAAATGCGCGTGCACGAAATGAAACTCGCATTTTTCAAGCAGAAATATGTGGAGACCAGACATACTGTACAATACATGCACGTGAATGATGGCACTCCCAATCAAAGTACACATTATACTTTTAAAACAAGACACTGATTATCTAGTCTCAGTGTATTTAAAAACTCTAAACAACTGCACTAATTATGCAAGATAGAAAGCAATGTATTGACAATTTGACATTGATTGACTATTGATTTATAGGCTATATTGAATTTAAAATGTTGATTAGCTGGACATGGTCAATATGGATGCACATCCCTCAGTAAATAATAACCATAAATCAATAATTGCTTCAACATGCATAATAAAAAATTAAAAAATCATACTGATGCCGAAAATGCCCAGGCTGTAGAAAGAACCAAAGTTAATCCCAAAAGCCAAAGCTCAGGGTTATAATTTATTATTTTCTTCTTATTTATGTTTACGTTAATATTCACTTACTTAATAATATTCATTTATTATCTTAACATTCTATAGAAAATACTCTATTCAATAAATATTGTGTGTTTGAACCTCATTCTGTTCTATATTGTTGTACTTATTCTTTGACTGTTTTGTTTAAAGGAGGGAGGATTGTATGGGAGCGCTGAAGTGTCAGGTGTGACTGTGGCAATGGCAAATGGTTTACATAGCTCACGACATCACAGGTCAGGTAGAGGCCCCTTAGCAGAATTTTGCTTAGGGCCCCAGGGAGGTCAGGATCGGCACTGGGTGTAGCAGTCGATTCTGTTCCTTACCGGAATTCCTGTTCCCTTTACGCAATCATATTACAAATCATGCGTAGTTGCCCAGATGAGCAAAAAGCACAATTGAATGTACGGGAAGCCAAAAGGTTAAAAAAGGATTGTATTTTTTCCGAAATCTAAGCGTTTTTTTTGTTTTTGTTTTATTAGAAGCGAGTTTTTCCCCATCTGTCAATTCAATCCAGATTATTTATATAAAAAAAAAAATTAAAAAAAAAATCATAATAATAATTAAAAAACAATAATATGAGCAACTCTTTTTCTCATGTGTATTTTGGTGACATTTAACATATTGTTAATACATTTTGTATACTGTTTACAAAGTTGTATATCATAAACCTGTCATCTTTGACGTTTGCAATCTTTATAAATAATAATAAGACCATAATATGAGGCATTGCGTTTGGACATAAACACGATCAGATAAGGCAATTTGTATGGGCAAAATTCAACTGAATATATTCCTTCATATAGCCCGTGAGTTTTGGGGGTAGTGCCCTTTTTTCAGGTCAGAGCAACTGCCCCACAAAATTCCTGTGCACGTCCCTGATTGACACCATTATATGAGAACTGAACAGACCTAGACGATGACATCACTGTTTTCTTCAGAGAGGCTGAATAGATAAATGTAATATATTAAAACTTTTTTACAACAGAAATGAACCATCACTGAACTTAAGCTGGACTATGACACTATTTTCTCTGCAACTGTTGCATTATTTTCCTGTTATCACTTTAAATGTGCTATATAAATGAAGGTGACTTAAATATAAAAATTTTCATATTTACCTTTGTTTGTCTTATATTTGTCATTTGATTGAATAAAATTTGGATCTCACAGCAAAACAACTGTTTGCACTAACACAAACAAACTTACCAGTGTAGCAACTGAAACAGTCTGTGCAATAGGCCTGGTTATACAAACTGTAAACAAGGAAATCTCTTTCTCTGACACTTTGGTTGGCTCTGATGGAGTTTAAAAACATTAAAAAAATGTAGATATTATCTGACTATAACAGATGACACTATCAGATGAGTAAAAAAGCTTGAATTAAACTGGATAATGACACTTATCTTCTGTAGAGCTGCCTTTGAAATCATTTCATAATTGATCTTTACAACATTCACATCAACTGAACTAACCTAATGACACTACGGACTTGTTACTTGACAATATTTACCAGTGCATTCTCTCACTAAAATTTAATCATGTAATGCAGTTCAGAATTTATTATTTCATTTAATCCATGTTTTTATTTGTAATCATTTACAATATGTTAGAAAGGTTGCATCATGCCGGTCTTCGTTCTTTATTGGCAGCACACAAAAACTATCTAAACTGACTTGCCATCAAACACTGTAGTTGTAGCTGAGACCTGGAAGAGTTTGGTTACGGCTGTTTCACACCACAAGCGTGAGCCGCGTGTCAGCGTAACTACAGCGTCGTTATAAGTGAGCAAATCTGTACAAAGACAACTATAAATTTGTTTTTAGAAGTTGGTCATTTATAAAATTGATAGTCTTGAAAGTTTAAGATGGGGAGGTGTACAACATTCGCATGTAAATGGTAAACAACAAAAAACAAGCAAGAAAACAGATACGATCTTGTCGTTTCAGTCATACTTTCGAAATGCTTACAAGACAGCAAACTGCGGATAAAAAAAAAACGCACACTCGGGTTTGATTTGGGTTGTGTTAGCCTATGTAGCTGTCTGTGTATTACATAAACTAAAAGAAAGTTTATATATATTTTTTACTGGCTAGTTTACTTTAGTTTTTTTTTATAATACACCTTACTTTCACCCAAACCTAATAATTAAAAACAAGTTTAAATTGGTGGCCTAAATCTTCTATAAATATTTTTGAGTCTTCATTTTCTTTTCTTGCCTACTCCAGTTCTTGTTAAAACTCACTAGACATGCTTATTCTGTGGATTTTGGGCACTTTTTGTGTGAAATAATATTTAATTTGTCCATCAAAATTGTGCTTTTACTTTAATTAAGTGTGCCTTCTGACAAAAGAGATTGAGAACCACTAAACTACATCAAAGCAGGTGGTCAGGTGCAGCCACAGGAGTTCATATGTACATGACAAAAAAAAAAAAAAATCAAAAAGTCTCAAGGAAAAATTATAGAGGTCAATAATGCAAATGGTCATGAAGGTGGACAAATCAAATCTAGGCCACATTCAGCTGTGGTGTGAACGTAGCCTTAGTTTCACACAGATACGGATTTTCTGGTGCCATTTTAAATGGCCAAGCCATTTAAATCTCTTTCCACACAAAGAACAAAAATACCGTCTGACATCTGCATGACTTTTCAGATGTATCTGTAAGTGTGATAGCAAAAGAAATCTTTTATTACACTGGTCACAATTAAATTGCCTTTTTCCAGAGTTTTTTGGGTGTTTTTTAAAATGGCTCCTTTTTGTAAATCTCTTGCCACTTTCAGAGCCCTGCAATTTCTTTCTAGAATGAGTTTGCAAATGACTTTTCAGGTCTCTTCCATATGTGAAACTCTTCTCACAATGTACACATGGGAAAGGCTTCTCTCCAGTGTGAAGTCTTGTGTGAACATCAAGGCTTACTTTCTGATTGAAACTCTTTCCACAGAGAGAGCAGGTGTAAGGCTTCTCTCCAGTGTGAATTCTCATGTGAGTCTTAAGGTTTCCTTTAAATCTGAAACTCTTTCCACAGTGATCACACATGAATGTCTCTTCTCCAATGTGAATTTTTACATGCTTGTTAAGGCTTTTTTTGTCTGGGAAACTCTGTCCACACCGATGACATTTAAAACATTCCTCTCCAGAGTGATACTTCTTCATGTGGAAATTAAGGGCTCGGTTACGTGTAAAACATTTCCCACACTCAACACACATGAATGGTTTTTCTCCTGTGTGAGATTTCATGTGATACTTAAGATTTCCGTTTTGTGTGAAGCTCTTCCCGCACAGTTTGCAGGTGAAAGGACTCTCTCCGGTGTGAACTCTCATGTGGGCTTTAAAGGTTGATTTGTATGTGAAGCTCTTCCCACACAGTTTGCAGGTGTAAGGATTATCTCCAGTGTGAACTCTCATGTGCGAATCAAGGGTTGATTTATGTCTGAAACTGTTTCCACATTGATCACATTTAAATGGCTTCTCTCCAGTGTGAATTCTCATGTGAGTCTTAAGGCCTCCTTTATGTATGAAGCTATTCCCACACTGTTTGCAGGTGTAAGGCCTCTCTCCAGTGTGACCTCTCATGTGTGAATCAAGTTGTGCTTTATATGTGAAGTTTTTGCCACACTCTTTGCATGTGTAAGGCGTACTTTCAGTGTGAGATATCATGTGCCTTTTGAGGCTATCTTTAGTACTGAAACTCTTTCTACACTGATTACAAGTAAAACGGTTCTCTCCTGAGTGCATCTTCATGTGGTTATTAAGGGTTACTTTACTTTTGAAAAGCTTTCCACACTGATCACATGTGAACGGCTTCTCCTCTGAGTGAATCTTCATGTGGTTTTTAAGGGTTACTTTACGTTTGAAAAGTTTACCACACTGATCACACGTGAAAGGCTTTTCTCCAGTGTGACTTGGCATGTGGGAATTAAGGTTTCCTTTGTGAATGAAACTTTTTCCACAATGCTTGCAGGTGAAAGGCTTCTCTCCAGTGTGAACTCTCATGTGGAGTTCAAGGTTATGTTTTAGTTTGAAACTCTTTCCACACTGACAGCAGGAGAAGGAACTGTTAGATTCTCTCTTCGGAGCTCTTTTTCTTGAGGAAGTCGTTTCAGTTTGTATGTATTTTTCTGTAGTTGTGACATGTTTCTGATATTGATGTTTCTCTTCCATTTCATTCAGTTCTTGACTCGTCTCTTTCAGTCCCACCAGGTCTAAAGCAAAAAATATATATATAAAAAAAATACAAGTTAACATCAGTTTACCATCAAAAACAACAACACGATATCAGATCTTTCGACATAATTCTCAAGCTATTGAAAAGAACATTGTGGTCTATGTTGGCATTTATGTACAAGTGTTGGCATAATTTCGCAGTAAACAATTACAGTCTTTCAACGTTGAAATATGGTTGAAAATAAGTCGGTCCGCCTGGGACTGGTATACGACGTGATTTCACCTAAGTAGTTTTGGCCGGATTGTTTGACTACGTGTTTTCAACTGATCATCTAGGACAGTCAAATAAACCACATGTTTTCACCTGATAATCTAAGACAGGATAAGTCTTATACATGCTAAAATAACAGAGAAATACATACCAAACCATGTTCATTATTATCTCAAATAAATTTAAGGAGTTTTACATATTCCATCAAAGTTGTAAAAAAATACATTGAAACTGTGATTATGAGGCGCGCCAAGCAATGAGGAGATTCATACTTGGAAAGAATTACCACACCCCAGTCCAGCTGGTGGTGGTAATGCACCATTAAAGTAAGTTGCCAACCGCCATAAAACCGAAAGAAGAAGCAGCAATGAGGAGGCACGCCTGCAAACCTGCAGCAATGAGGAGATAGGATCTAGGGTTACTCAGGTTAGAATAAAAAATATATATATATAACAAATATTTTTTTAATAAAACTCATCGTCACCATAATTATTAGACCATAGAATATATACCACCAGGGGGAGCAATAGGATTCCTTAGGGTTAATGCTCCCAGCGGTTGTCCTTAGGTAAGGATAACATCGATTTGGTTCTTGCATTTAACTCTAGAAGGGAAAGCTGGCAGAAGCTTGATGTATCGAACACCTTGTACATTCACCAGCCTGAACACCGACCTAGGCTCTTAAAAATCCGCCAATAGACTGCAGACTCTTTCCGGGTGACCTGGGCAACCTAACGGTGAGGTCACTTGGGAGAGTGGCAAGTATCCAGCCCCCCTGTACCTTCGGGCTTGCACACAGGGAAGGTGACCTGGGGCAAACAGGTCTTAATTAGGTGCCCAGTTTCTTATGGCCATCCAGGCAACTCATACAACAGCACATTGGCACTTCAACACCCCAGAAAAACTGATACTAAAATAGTTAAGACGCTCGGAACGCTTAACATGGAAAACCAAAAAAATTAAATCCTTAAATCATGACGCAGAATCCAACAATAATCAATTGAGATTCTGTTGATACAAGAATTAGAAATTGGCTATGAGACACTCAATGGGAATTGATCAACCAAAGCGGTCCGCCTCAGAGGAGTGTCTGGTTGTTGAAGGTGCCGAAACACTTGATGATCCTGAGGTACACCACTGAAGAAGTGTCTCAAATATTTCTCTCACACTACTAGTTTTGAGAGACTAGAAATTGACTACAAATAATTTTAAGGTAACCACCCATTAGCAACAGACCCAATCTAAATAGCCCTGATGAACTAAAGGAAAAACCACACTCAACCCAGACCCACCCATTCTAAACCAAATAGCAAAAGACCTAATAGCCTCTAGCATAATTCGAATAGCTCTGATAAAATTTGGTCACAGCTAAAGCAACTAAGGTGAACTCACACCAATTTTAAACCTAATAGCAACAAACTTAATAGCTCCAAACCGAACCTAAATAGCCATGGTAAAAACCTAAATCAACGAAGTAGGGTCAACCCACACTCACCCTGAACCTAACCATCTCAAATCTAAAGACAACAGACCTGCTGACTTTAAAAACCCTATCTAAATAAACAAGTAGGAAGCCTAGTCAAATTAACTAAAGGTAAACCCACACCTAACCTAAACCAACCCATCTTAAACCTAATTAACCCTAATAAAGCCTAAATCAACAAACTATGGTCAATCCACAACCACCCTAAAACCTAAGGACAATAGAATCAATGACCACAAAACCTGCAGAAAACCTAACCAAATTAACTAAGGGGAACCCACGCACAACATGCTACATCAGAGACACATATGACTTCATTAACAAAATCAAAACGATACAAACCCCACCAGAAGCCATCCTATTCACAATGGACATAGTCAGTCTATACACAAATATCGAGACTCAATTAGGACTCCAAGCAGTCAGAGAAATTTTTAAGAAAAACGAGGATGTCACAAGACCAGACGAGTCAATTCTCCAACTACTAGAAATTAGCCTAACATGCAACGATTTCGAATTCGCAGGGGAATATTACCTCCAGACAAACGGTACAGCAATGGGCAAAAAATGTCCCCCTTCATACGCCAACATATACATGGCACACTGGGAAGAAACGGCCTTTCCTAAATGTAACGTATTACCATTCAGGTATTACAGGTACCTAGACGATATTTGGGGAATATGGGCACACAGTATAGATAGCTTCGAAGAACTCATACAAAACCTAAACAATCATCATAGACTAATCAAAGTCAAAACAACTGTAAACCCCACTACAGTACACTTACCATTTTTAAAGGTCCAGACTTTGACTCCACACATAAACTAGACTCAAAAGTCTATTTTAAAGAAACAGACACACATGCGCTACTCCGCCATAAAAGTTCCCACCCAAAACATACCTTTGGGGGAATTGTCAGGGCACAACTATTGAGATTCTCTAGAATCTGCACAAGAGAGGAAGATTTCCAGGTAGCCAAACAAATCCTGTTTAGATCCCTCCGTATTAGGGGATATTCAAAATCATAAAACTTAAAAGAATATACAAGGATTATCAGGATAAACGAACAAATCCGGGGGAACAACGAATCCCAGATGAACAAATTGTAGTCCCAGCCGTTTTCACCTACACACCAACTACAAGAAAACTAAAAAAAAAATAAAAACAAAGACAATTTCACAAATCTTTAATACCACACAAAACATCACAATCTTAGCATCATACAAAAGGAACCCCAATCTCAGAGATATCTTAGTTAAAAGTCGACCTTCCTCCAAAAAAACCTCACACACTTAATCCATAAACCCAAAATGGTTAAGCAAGCAGGGAAACCCAGAGCCTACTTTGTACCGAATATACCTCTCAATAACACCAACTGTATATATCTGATAACATACAACAAATGTAAAAAACAATACATCGGACAAACCAAAAATTCCATTAGGAGTCAACACAAATATAACATCCGCACTTCCCCAAAAAACTCAAGGAATGGAATCCTAATTAAACATTTCCAAAGGCATGGTATCCAGAACGTACGCATCCAAGGTATTGAACATAATCCCCACTGGACTGAACAACAAAGAAGAAAAGCAGAATGGCAGTGGATCAAAAAATTAGAAACTAAATTCCCTAAGGGACTTAATGAAAGACTGGAAAAGAAAAAGTACACATTGTTCAATCATGCCAGACATACTTCCAACCAAACAAACACCTGTCTGTAGATGAAAGAATGGTTGCTTCAAAAGCAAGAATAGGACTAAAACAGTACATGAAGGATAAGCCAACAAAATGGGGCTATAAACGCTTTGTGTTGGCAGATTCAATCAGTGGTTACACTTGGAATTTCTTTGTTTATGAAGGAAAGAACTCCATGGCCACTGGTAAAGGCCTTAGCTATGACTCCGTAATGACCCTGATGAATATTCCTCTTCTTGGCATTGGCTACCACATTTTCATGGAAATTTTTTACACAAGTCCAACCCTGCTTTTGGATTTGTTTGGAGAAAAAAAAACCCTCTAGCATGTGGCACCATTTGAGCAAACAGGTTGGGCTTTCCAAAAACAAAAACAAATGACCTCAGCAAGAAAGCCCAGAGAGGAACCATCCGCTGGCTCAGGCAAGGAAAACTCCTATTTGTGAAGTGGATGGATACAAGAGAGGTGGTGATGTGCTCCACAATTCACAAGGCATATGTGGGTGAGACTGTCAACAGGCGTGTGAAGAATGCAGAGGGTGAGTGGAGAATACAACAGATCCCAGTTCCCACAGCAGTCAAAGAATACAACAAATACATGGGTGGAGTTGACTTGTCTGATGCCTTGATTTGTTATTACAATGTTCTTCAAAAAACAAGGAAGTCGTACAAGACCTTGTTTTTCCATTTCTTTGACATTTCTGCAGTAAATAGTTTCATTCTTCACCAGAAACTTTCAAAATCCCACAAAAAGACACCGATGACACAGAAGACATTCAGGAAAACCCTTGTGTCTGAGCTTGCAGACATTGCCACACAGCCCATACCAGCTCCCCCAGAGCCATTCGCAGCTGGTGCAGCTTGTTCATCCACCACCAGCTCAACAACCAGCCACTGCATTCCACAGTACTTTAGCACAGATGCTACAAATAAAAGGAGGCAATGTGTTGTATGCAAAAGGCAAGGAATAATATCAAAGACTCCTGTGTTTTGCTCTGGATGTGGTGCGGCTTTGTGTCCTCACGCAAAGTTACAAAGAATGGCACCAGGAGGGGGACGAACACACCTGAGTAAGTGTGTGTGTGTGTTTTTGTGATTTACGAGGACATTTCATATGAATACACACCACACTATGAGGACATTTTGAATTATGAGGACATGGCCGGTGTCCTCATAATTCCGACAATGTAGAAGTGTTTCTATTGTTAGGGGGAGCTCAAAATCAAAATTTCAGCTCATGTCCCCATAGTTCACAATAACCTGGTTTTGTGTATCAGCTGTGTATCAAGACAGTGCCCCTGTAGGTGGGTCAGTGGTACTGCATCTCCTCATGAATATTCACACAAGTGTATGGAATCGAGGCCTTTGATTGGCTGATCGCAAAAAGTCCTCATAATTTCGGGTTTTGTCAAACCACTGTGTTATTCTAATTGCCACATAAGAAAATTACATCGAATGAAAAAATTATAACAACAATAAAAACTAAAATAAATCAATAAATCAATGAAAAAGGAATAATTACACAACACCAAGCCTTTTTCGATGATCCGGACCTGTCTCCGAGCCACTCCCTGTTGCTGAAACAG